GATGTGCCATGTTCCAAAGCGGGAGACGGAATATTCTTAAAAGGAAAGGATACGTAGGAAACAAGGACCTTCTCTGCGAAACCGAAGGATTTAGTTGGATTGCTTTCTTAACACTTGGCAATAAGTAATTCTTACCCCTTTGGGGGTCATAGTGGCTTTGAGGATCTGAGGAAAGTTCTGGATTTGGATCTTCTCTCCAAATGGAAGGGAAAAAAAATTCACCCTCGACACACACATAGTCTTACAATTTGGGGGCATTTGAAATGTCCCGCTCATCCCTCACTTCCGTCCAGCCCCAGGGGAAGAATGTTGGCCGTCAAGGACCTGGCTCTGAGTGAGGGAGGGCATTACCTCCCTCACTTACTGTGTCCTGCTGACTGCCACCCTTCAACCCTCCCCACCCCCCACCTCCCCACCGACAGTGTCTCCTTCTGCACGTTCCTGGCACATGAGTACCCAGACCTGGTGCACAAGGTGATCATGATCAACGGCGGGGGCCCCACGGCGCTGGAACCCAGCTTCTGTTCTATCTTCAACATGCCCACGTGTGTCCTGCACTGCCTGTCGCCCTGCCTGGCATGGAGTTTTCTCAAGTGAGTGACCCTGGCCCTGGTGGACCCTGGCATCTCCCTGAGTTGGGGGGGGAGGGGAGACCATACTGCTGGACTGGCACTGGGGGCACCCCTGGTGGCCCAAGCTGGCACGAGGCTCCAGGAGTGCCTCCCCCCACCCCCCACCCCCAGGGCTGGCTTCGCCCGCCAAGGAGCCAAAGAGAAGCAGCTGCTCAAAGAGGGCAATGCGTTCAACGTATCGTCCTTCGTCCTGCGGGCCATGATGAGCGGCCAGTACTGGCCCGAAGGTGATGAGGTCTACCATGCTGAGCTCACTGTGCCCGTTCTGCTGGTCCACGGCATGCACGACAAGTTTGTGCCGGTGGAGGAAGACCAGCGCATGGCTGAGGTAGGGCCTCTGCACCCCAGCCTCCATGCCCCACTGACCCCCCCTCCCCGTGGTGTGCACCCCAGGTGGGCTCTGCCTTGTGCCCCAGCCCCAGGAAGGTGAGAGCTAAGATTAAGAGTGGAATCCAGAAAGTGGGGCCGCCCTGGACAGGTATTAGGATTATGCGCTTTCCCCATTGCATGTAAAAGGTGCTCTTTGAGGCTGGGGATTGTGTAAGTGACCCAGGACGTAATACAGAATTCTGGGAGAGGGTGAGCCAGAGGATCTTTGGATCAGAGACTACCAGGAAAGTGTTGTGGGGTCTCCAGCCCTTGGAATAGCTCTGGACCAGCAGTTCTTTTTTTTTTTTTTTAATGTTTTTTTTATTTATTTCTAGGAGAGAGAGACAGTGTGAGCAGGGGAGGGTCAGAGAGAGAGGGAGTCACAGACTGAAACAGGCTCCAGGCTCTGAGCTGGCAGTCAGCACAGAGCCCGACGCGGGGCTCGAACCCACGAACCGCAAGATCATGACCTAAGCGAAAGCCGGACACTTAACTGACTAAGCCACTCAGGCGCCCCATGGACCAGCAGTTCTTAACCAGCAAGGATTCTGAGCCCCAGGGCACATCAGAAATGTCTGCAGACTTTTTTTTTTTAATGGTTTTTTTTTTTTTGAGAGAGAGACAGACCACCAGTGGGGGAGGGGCAGAGAGTGAGGGGGACGCAGAATCCAAAGCAGGCTCTGGCCTCTGAGCTGTCAGCACAGAGCCTGACGCGGACCTTGAACCCGCGAACTGTGAGAGCGTGACCCGAGGCAAAGTCGGATGCCCAACCTACTGAGCCACCCAGGTGCCCCGGAAATGTCTGCAGACTTTTCTGGTTGCCGTGAATGGGGAGGAGGGGCTTCTGACATCAGGTGCGTGGATGCCAAGGATGCTGCTCCACATCCTTTAATGACAGAATGGCTTCACAGAAAAGAATGATCCCATAACAAGTGTCAGTGATGCCAAGGTTAAGATCCCTGGCATGGGAGACCTTATCTTTCTGTCTATCTCAGTGATTATCCACCCAGCAGTGAATTTGCTCCCTAGGGACATTAGGCAATGTCTGGAGACTTTTTGAAGTTGTCACACTGTGGGGTGAGGGGAGCGAGGCACTGCTACTGGCATCTAGTGGGTCAAGGCCAAGGACGATGCTCAATATCCTACAGGGCACGGGACAGCCCCCACCACAGAGAATGATCTGGCCCTAAATGTCAGTAGTGCTGGGGTTGAGAAATCCTGCTCTGAACATATTGTAGGCTCCTAATAAATGCTGAATAAATACTGAGTTGAGCTCCATTTGGGCCACAGGCAATTCTCTGGGTCCCACTTGGGTGGAAGTAGAGGGATGCAGGGTAGAGCACAGGAGGGACTTCCCACTGCTGCAGGCGTTGTGTGGATGGGCTTGGGTGTCCCAGGGCAGCCTGGCCCCACAAGGCATCATTCCATGTCAGCCACCCTGAACCTGGGCCCCTCCCCGCAGATCTTGCTGCTGGCCTTCCTGAAGCTCATTGATGAAGGCAGCCACATGGTGATGCTGGAGTGTCCGGAGACGGTCAACACACTGCTCCATGAATTCCTGCTCTGGGAGCCCGAGCCCTCGCCCAAGGCCCTGCCCGAGCCCCTGCCCGCGCCCCCAGAAGAGAAGAAGTAGCCGCTGGGCCGGCCGGGCATCGCTTGGTGAGCCGAGGAGCATCAGCAGGAAACCGGGAGCCGCCCCACGTCCGCAGCGCGGATCCCTGGGCGGGCTGTTCGCTCCGGTGGGCGGAGTCAGGGCAGGGAGACGCCCCCAGGCCAGCTGGGGAGGGCGTGGCATTCTCGGGAGCCAAGTGGATACACAGCTCTCCGCTTCCATCCCACCGGACCCGTCAGTGTTTGGGGCCGCAGCCAGAAACCCCGTGGAGGATGACCTTGTACAGAAGTCCCTGCCCCTCAACGCCACGGCCGAGGCAGGTCCCCCACCCCGCTCTCTGTCTTCCGTGTCAGCCGTGCTTGATCCTGGGACCCTCGGGGCCCCGCCTCATTGCCCGAGACCTTCCCTGCCCCCCATTTCTTGGCGCTGGGAGCTATTGTTGCCCAAGGGGGAGGGGAGGGATGGGGGAGGGGCTGGCGCCACTGAACCTGCACATCTCAACTTGTAACTCAATAAAAAGAAGTGACAATCTGAGTCTCCAGACCTGTGCTGGGTGACCGCAGGGCAGGGTCGTCCTGAGCCTCAGTTTCCCCATCTTGCAGGCTGGGCTGATGCGGGTGCCACCCACTCAGGGCTGAACTGCAGAGAAGTGAGGGCGTTGGCTGTCCAGGCATACTTCCCGAGAGTTCTCCCTCCCTCCCTCGGAATGCAGGGGCTTCCTGGGCAGTATTCCCAGAGCTGAGACAGGTGGTGAGCTCCCCGTCCTTGGAAGGCAGGAGGCCGTCCAACTGAGGTTTATACAGGGTTTAAGGTGCGGATCAGTAGAGGTTGCATGGGTTGGAGCAGCCATAATTGAGTGGCACCTGTATACAAAGCCCCGTGCCAAGTGCCTGACACCATGGGTTCATTGAATCCCTTTTATCCCAGCCACATGGCAACTTGGTACCTTTTACTATCCATCCATTTTATCTTTCAACTTGGTTTAAGGCCACTTTTATCATGAAGAGTTTTTATTTTGAAGCAAATGAATCTGTCTTTTCATTTCTGGCAGAAGGACTTCTATATTTTCTTTCTTTCTTTTTTAAAAGTTTATTTACTTATTTGGGGTGGAGGGGCGGGCAGAGAAAGGAGAGAGAATCCCAAGTAGGCTCTGCGTGATCTGAGCCGAAGTCCAGAGTCAGACGCTTAACTGAGACATCCAGAGGCTCCATTCCTCAATATTCTTTTTTCTTTGTTGTTTATTTTTAAGGAAGAGGGAATGCGCATGTGCTTGCACACGCAAGCTGGGGGGAGGGGGGTAGAGAGGGAGGGAGAGGGAGGATCCGAAGTGGGCTCTGCGCTGACAGCTGAGAGCCCTGGGACTCAAACCCACAAACCCTGAGATCATGGCCTGAGCCAAAAGTGATTGCTTGAGGGACTGAGCCACCCAGGCGCCCCTCCTATGTATTTTCTAAGTCCACCTGTGGCTTGTGTGAACGGTGAGCGGAGAGCATTGTCCCTTTAGTTACTGCATCTTTGGTTTTTTTCCCACTGGTTTGTGAACCCACCTTTAGTTTAGACTGGGGTTCTGGTGGAGACAAGTGTTCTCCACTAGCAAATTCTGGAGACATGTTTTATTGCCGCTACTGGGGATGGGAAGAAGTGGGTGGAGGCGACGGGCATCTAGTGGGTGGAGCCCAAGGATGCTGCCCTGTCATTTTACATCGCCCAGGGCGGCCCCTACTGCAAAGAATAATTCGGCCTCAAATGACTGTAGGGTCCACCTTGGGGAAACCCTGTTAGGCAAAGCTCGTCTCTTTTGGGTCTTTTTTTGGGGGTGGGGGTGGGAGTCTCTGGATTCTTTCCCAGGGACTTCTTTGTGAATTCCTGGGCATACGGCACACTTTTAATTGCCATCACTTTATCAAGAGACTTCAGGTCTGGGAGCCCTCCGGGTCTTAACATGTGAGGAAAGAGAAGCTTAGAGAAATTTCTTTGGTTTGGGTAAAATGATAGAGGCCCCCCACCCGCCCACAGAATGGTAGAGCCCGACCCTCTCCAGAGGACTGCCCCCTAATCACCATACCAGCCATTCCCCAGGAGTGGCTGGGGGCTCAGCCCGCAGGAATTGAAGCAAGTAGGCACTGCTGCCCAGGTTACATCCCGCCCTCGCTGCCGGACCTGGTTCGCTGAGCGCCGATGATGGGCAGGTGGGCTACCCAATGAGGCGACGGACCCTCCCAAAGCTAAACACACTGAATACTTGAGGAAGCTACTTCTGGAAAATAACATGATCCCGTCAACACCTTACCAGGATGACAGCTTGGCATTTCCTAAAGCTCTAAACATATGTGAAGTCTGAAATCATATAGCATCGCCAGGAAGTCGCGGCTATTTATTCCATTTTATGGTGGAAGGAAGGGTTTCAGGGAAACAACGTCCGGGGGCCCGAGGGGCACAGCTGTCCTGAGGAGGGCTGGTGGCTCACCCACACCCTGTCGGCCTCTCCAGCTCTGCCCACATATCACCACCCACGGCCGGCCCCTGGAGAGCCTCAGGCACCTCCCTTCCGCAAGAGACTTTCCACCGGGGCGGAAGGGCTGCCTCTGGCTCAGTGCAGGGCTCTGAGCCACCCACTGTACTGCGTGACTCCGTTTCCTCCCGTCTCCGCAATGACCCCTTGAGGTAGCACTTCTCACTGTCCCCATTGTACAAATTAAGGAACCTGAGCCTCTGAGAGGCAAATTACTGGTCCGAGGTCCCACAGCTGCGACGCTGAGAAATCTGGCTCTTGACTTTGGCAGATTTCCCCCCTCCATCCCACATGTGAGTTCCCTGCGTCTGGAAGCTAAAAGTGGACTATATAGACAGGACCAAACTGCCAAGGCACTAGCATGTTCTGAAGCACTAGAACGTTCCAAAGAACTTCTGCTTCCCTACTTGTCTTCCTCCCGTGACAGGAAGCTCATTACCTTTCCAGCAGTTCCATCTGTAACAAAGTCCTTTCTCAGCTTGAGGGGGAGATAGGCCCTGCTGCCTGCCCGCTCCCCCCCCCCATCAGCCTTCTGGAGATGGGGGGCTGCTGTCAGCATGGGGCAGCTGGAACATTCAAGCACCCTGATCTCTACCCAGGCTGGATGGCCAACTCCTCAATACTCAGCCACGGGCCTGGATGTCCTGGGGTCGCAGCTCTCGTTCACCCTCAGCCAAGAAGACGAGGAGGGCGCGGTGCAGCAGATGCACCCCCAAGCGGCGTCGCCGGGTGGGTGGCCAGCTCGCCACCACTCCATAGCAGTGTCCCTGTCTCTGGTTGGTCAGTGTCTGGAGGCCTGGAGAGATTAGGAGTCAGGTCACAGGGGCATCCTTGGAAACTCCTGGCAGAAGTGACAGTGAATCCACAGCATATTACCCTTAAGCAGGGGCAAACCAATAGAGCAAAATATGTGCACGTGCAGGTACATAGGTGGTGCTCAATAATTGCTCATTGGCTGAATGAATGAAGAGTTCTGAGAGGAAAGGGGCAAGGTACTCCGTAGATCAAGTGCCCCTCATATGATCCCCCCACCTCACAAGTCAGGCACCTACCTAGAGCGTCCACTAGACACGCCTCTCGAGTATAAGCCTCCACAGCAACCACGTGTTGGAAGCAGTGCAGGGAGACAACACCACGACCACTGGCCCAGATGTCCAAGATCTGGCGCACTTTGGGGCAGGCCTAGGGGGCCAGGGTGGGGTCAGGGGCTGCCCTCCGATCTCCTCCTTTAACCTCCCCCTGACCCAGCTGCCCCCGCCATGACCCTGATCCTTATCCTCATACCTGCTTTCCTGGCTGTCGACGGTGGCTGAGGGCCTCCCAGAGGTGGGCATCTGGCCGGGCCCGTGTCCCTTTCCCCACATAGAAGATGGCATGGACAAAGGTCCGAAGGCGTTCAGTGGGGGTCAGTGAGAAGGCTCGGGCTGGCAGGTCCTGAGTCTCCCTGGATGCAAGGGGTCGCTCAGAGAGGAAGCAGTGGTCAGTTGCCCCGGAAACAGTATCTAAGTTCACAGTGCAACTCGAATCCGAGTCCAGGGAGCCCCTTCCCGGGCAGAGAGAGGTGGATGCTCCCCAAGGACACTCAGCAGCTTGAACTGGGTCGAACCAACCTTTTATACATAAAATGGCTGACGACCAGAGAGGGCTGGTCCCCCTTTTAAAGATACAAAGCAGGGGCGCCTGGGGGGCTCTGTCGGTTCAGCACCCAGCTCTTCGTTTTCGGCTCAGGTGGTGATCTCAAGATTTGCATGATCGAGCCCTACATTGGGCTCTGCACTGACAGCGCAGAGCCTGTTTGCGATTTTCTCTCTCCCTCTTTCTCTGCCCCTCCCCCACTTGGACATGCGCATGTTCTCTCTTTCTCTCTCTTTCTCAAAATAAATAAATAAACATTAAAGATACAAAGCAAAGGGGCCCCTGAGTGGCTTAGTCGCTTGAGCATCTGACTCTTGATTTCGGCTCAGATCACGATCTCACAGTTCATGGGTTCCAGTCCAGCATCAGACACGGTGTTGACAGTGTGGAGCCTGCTTGGGATCCTCTCTCCCTCTCTCTCTGCCCCTACTCTACTCGCACTTGCTCTCTCTCGCTTGCTCGCTCTCTCAGAATAAATACACTTAAAAAGAAAAAGAAACAAAGCAAATAAGGACCAACCCCAGAACTTTCTGTCCCTGCCCTGAGTACCTGGGGTCCAGCAGTAGATACGTGAAACTGGACTTCACGACCCCCTCCCGCCACCTTCTTGTGGGGTCCGGCTGCTCAAACTGCTGGGCAAGCACATCCTCATCCGCCTGGGCATCTGGGATACAGCCTGTCCGCAGGGCTTTGGCCAGCTCTGGGCTGTGCCCTGCAAAGTCTAAGCCTGGGGCAGGTGGGGTGTGTGTGTGGGAAACTGAGTCAAGGCAGACAGAGGAAGGGGGGTTGTTCCCAGACATAAAGAATAAAGGAGGGAGGACCGAGAGCCAGGGGTCTCCAGGGAGGCTCCTTGGATCTGGTGCCCAGAACAGACTAACCAGGACCAGCACGGACTTCTTCGGGCCGTCGGAGGTAGTACGTCGCAGTGAAGGGTGTGATGGGGCCCAGGCCCTTGCCCAGCGCTCGGAGCCCTTGCGGTGTCTCCAGGTGCGTCCTGACAGGGACTGGAGGGCACCGGCAAGAGGGGACAGGGTCCTTGCCGCCCGTGGAGCTCGCCTCATCCTCCGTCAGCCAGAGGGCAGCCATTTCACCGTCGAGGGACAACTCTTCGTCTTTTAGGACGTGGACGTCGGGGAGTCCAGGGCGTGGTTTCCGAGGGGGGCTCGGGAGGGATGTGGGGGAGGCGGAGGCCTCTGGCGAAGTCAGAGTCAGGGCCTGCAGACAGGTATTTAGCTCAGCCTCCCTGTCTGTCACGGCAGCTCGATGTGCCAGCTGTGGGGTACCTGGGGGCCTTGGCATCCCCTGGGAAGGGCGAACAGTAAGCAGGATTCTCTGCTCGGTCTGGGGCGATGACCTTGCCCAGGAGGAGGTGTGCGGGGCTGGGTCTTCAGTTCCAGAGTCTTCAGTCGCAGTGACAAAGGAGGCATCTGAGCTGCAGTGCCACTGTCCTGGGGGGCGCGGAGAGTGCTCCAGGCTGCTATCCTTGTCAGCGATCTCAGGGTGGGCAAGGTGGCGGGGGAGTCTGGGGCTGGCTTCCAGGCCCTTGTCCCTGCCATCACTTCTGCCCAGTGCTGTGGAGCCCAGCGACACACTGGGAGGTCCAGAGGGGCTGGCGTCCAGCCCCTCTCCCTGGGGGTCTGGGCCTGAAGTAGGGGATGAGAGGGAGGGTCAGAGAGGAGGGGTGAAGAGAGCCAGAGCCAGAGATGGGGGCTGGGTGGGACAGAAAGAGGAAGCTGGAGTCGCAGGGAGGAGGGAAAGAATCGGAAGCAGACAGCTTACCCGCCACACTGCATGTGACACAGAACCAGACAGCGGTCATCAGAGAGGCCCACGCAAAGCTAGATTGGAGATTAAGCCCCCCGAGGACACGCGGGCCCCACCCACCGCCAGGCTCCGGCTCCGGCTCCAGCTCTTGGCTCCCTGCCCGGGTCCGGGTCGATGTCTGGGTCCGAGTCTGGAGTTCCCGAAGGACGTGCGCGCAATCCTGGTGCCCTTGCTGCTCCGCCAGGTCCAGCGGCCGGAGTCCGTCCTGCGGCGGCTTGGTCAGCAGGGGGCACCCGAGGCCCTCTCCCCTCCCTACTCCCCTCCCTTCCTCGCTCCCTCCGGGTCCGCCTTGCCGCTGCGGGCGCCGGGCTCCCACCTGGTCGCGCAATGCGGGGTCCGCTCCGTGGCCCAGCAGCAGCTCCAGGCCGCGGCGACAGCCCCAGGCGGCAGCCACGTGCAGCGGCGTGAGCGCCTCGACCGATCTGGGGCAGGAGCGGAGGAGAGGGCAGCGGAAGAGGGAATGAGATCTCCGCCTCCGTACCCCGGAGCCCTGGCTCTGGCCCCCTATCTCCACCTCCCCAGCCCGAGACACCCCTCTTGGATCCGAGACACCGCGCCCTCGGGGAGACTCAAACCTCCTCTTTGACCCTAGAGCTCCTACCGCCAGCTCCGAATTTTTGATCCCTACTGGGCCCGAGCGCAACCTCGCATCCCACCCTCAATCTCGCACCCTAGCCACCGCCCTTGGATCCTTAGGAACCCGCCCCCACATTCCCAAGCCCCACCCCTGGGCACCGAGTCTCCGCCCCCGGGGTATGAGATGCCCTCTCCACGACTCCCAGTTCTCGCCCTTGGATTCGGGAGACCCCTCCCCTGCGCGGATCAGCCCGCCCCGGGCCCAGGCCCCGCCTCACCGAGCGTTCGCATCCCCGCCCCGGTGCAGTAGGGCTTCCAGGCAGCGCAGACCGCGCGAGTGCCGGGCTCTGGCCGCCAGGTGCACGGCTGCCGCGCCATCCGCGAGCACCAGGTTGGGGTCCGCGCCGCGGCGCAGCAGTTCTTCCACGGCCCTACGGACTGGGAGGTCAGAGTGGACCACGAGCCCCGCCCCGCCCCCACCCCCACCCCGGTCCTCGCCCTCACCGCGGCTCCTCCTCCCGCAGCGCTGCCCGCAGTCGGCGCGCCAGGCCAGCGGCCGCGGCCATGCCCGGGACGTCCTCGGGACCTGCCATCCTGCCCGTGGATTTCGAACTTCCCGCGGCTCCCTTGTGCGCACGCGCCGCTCCACCCCTCGCCTCCGGTCCCCTGGTGCCTGCGTAGCGCAAGGTCCCCAGCGGCGCGGAGCCACGCCGCACCGGCGTCCACATCAGGGTTCGGGAGGTCTAGTGCCTGCGGGGGCCGGTGGCACCGAGTGGCGCTCAAGCAGGGCCTGGGGCCGCTGATAAGGACCCGGGCGGGTGGAGGCCACCGAGTGTGTCATTTATCTCTTCTCCAAAGCGGGAAAATGCGAACGCACCCTGATGGAGGACGTGGAGCTGCGTCCCGGGATGGGACCAGAGGTGCCTACAGGCCATTACATCTCCTGGAACGTTTTGCCCAGGCGGGCTCCACCGACGGGCACAACCCAGATACCATGTAAAGTTTCAATGAACAGCCCCCGCCTCCATCTCCGTGTCGCCCGTTTTCACTCCTGGGGAAACGGGGGTCCCTTACTTTGGAGTGCCGGCCGCTGAGGGCCTTCATGTTCCCATCTGCAAAATGGGAGAATAATCCCTTCCAGGCTGGTGTGAAATGGGACGAGTTTCACAAGGATCCGGTACATGGGTGCCCAATAAATGCTCACAGGGAAGAAAAGCTTGTGTTGCTGTTGCTTGTTTTTTAATATATAAGAATCTAGCTGCTAGAGGCATCTGGGTGGCTCACTCGGTTAATCGCGGGACTTCAGCTGGAGTCATGCTCTCCGTCAGTGAGTTGGAGCCCCTGGGGCTCTGCGCTGACAGCTCTGAGCCTAGAGCCTGCTTTGGATTCTGTCTCTTTTTTTTTTTTTTTTGGTCTCCCTCTCTTTCTGCCCCCCCGCCCCCCCCCGACCCTCTGTCTCTCAAAAATGACATTAAAAAAAAAACCAAAAATCTAGCTGCTAAACTTTTTTCCGCAGTTGCTCATTATCCAGGAAGGTAATCGAATGGTAGACCTCTTGTATGTCTCTGGTCTCCCCTTCTCTGGAGAAAACCCGTATTATTTCCTGATAGAGCAGTAATCCCTTCCAGAACAGAGTCAAGGCCGATCAGAGCAGCCCACAACTCTGGCCCACGACTGGCCCACCTGCACGGTTACCTAACCCAGGCGAGGCCAGTCATACGGAGGTGCTGGGACCCCTCACTTCACCCGGGCTGTAGTCTGGGAGCGCTCACAGCCACCACACCCTTTCCCCGCCTTCCCCCCTTCCCACGGTTTGGGAGAAAAGCAGGGCGCGCTGGACACTGAGCTGGACACCGAGCTGGACACCGAGCAGGCAAGATGGTTCCGTCCCCCCCAGTGGCATGTGGCAGTGTTGTCTGAACAGCCAAGCCTGAAGCTGCACATTGCTTTTCATCTACAAGAACGTCGCCATTCCCTTCTGTTCAGTGGGTAGGATTTCTGTCACGTGCAGCCAAAAGAGCCCAGTTAACACAAGGTAACTGCTGCGCAGGTGGCTTAGGGATTCTCAGCTTTTTACTTTGATGACAAAATAAAAAGTCACAAAAGGAACAAACGTTAACAGTTGACAAACTAGTGGTGGGATGTGGGCTGGAAAACACAGGGAAGGGGTGCCCGGGGTCCCTGGAATGCTTCCTGGAGTCTTGAGTTTCTTTCCAGGGTGCCCCGGAGCCCTGGGAGCCTCCTGGAACCCTCCCCCTCAGGGTGCCACAGAGCTGGGTTTGAGAACCATCCTCCAAGCCCAGGGTTTCATCCCACAACAAACGCACAGGGATGGCTCAGACGGTGGCTTCAACCTCAGCGGCTTCCTCGTCCTCCTCGAGCAGGCTGTAAGAGGCGTGACTCTGGCAGGGCCGCTGCAGTGGGTGAGCCAGCAGCTTGGCCATGCAGTTGTGCAGCTCGAGGGCCGGCCCGGCCAGCGCCACCTCATACTTGTAGCTGGTGCCCTTGGTGTCCAGGCTGCCCATGAAGGCAAACATGTCCTGTGGGGCCAGAGAGAGGGGATGCTCGGGCAGAGGACCTGATGGACCCTCTCTGTCCCTGGAGGGCTTCCCTGAGGAGGGGGCATCAGGGACGGGTTCTGGAGGATGGAGAGGAGTTTGCCAGAAAGGAGCCCGTCCCCCACTCAGCGAGTATTCCCTGCTGCCCACCCAGTGTTAGGGTCTCCAGGAGGTCTCTGGCCTGGAGCCCCAGGTCTGGAGAAGCACCCCCTCCCCCATGCTAATCATCCCTGAGGAGCAGAGACTTGTGGTTTTGGTGCTGAGGCAGGAGTAGGAGGCAGTCTCAACTCCGCCTGTTCCCAGCTGGGTAAACGGAGGCTCAGAGAGAAGTGGCCTATTCAGGGTCCTATAGCGAGGTCAGGGCTGGGATGTCAAGGACCAGCAGGGCCTGGGGAGGCAGGGAGGGAAGGGTGCTTGAAGCGGAGGGCACTGTTAGAGCAAAGGCAGGAAGAGAGAAGCAGGAGGTGCCAAGGGCGAGGTGGGCAGAACCCTACACGCTCAAGGGGCCGCCGTCCCAACAGCCCCCACTAGCTCACAGCAGCCACGCAGAAACGGTTGTTGAATGAGTAAACGACCACTCCCCGGCAGGGCCAGGGCTCCAGGGCTGCAAAACGGAGGCGGGATTCCCTAGGGCCAGGGCGGCTGGGTCCTGAGATGCCCCATCCACACCGACCTGCCACCCCCCGCCGTGCCCAAGAGCCTCTCACCTTCCAGCTCATCTCCTCCTCTTTCTCGTCAGCGCCATTGTGGATGTAAACGACGTCGAAGAAGAAATATGGGCACTGGAACATTTTCTGCAGGGGAAGGATACCAGCCTTCAGGGCTCGGCTCACCCCGCGCCCCTGTGACCACTCCCCTGTGACCACGCCCCGGCTTCTGTCCTGGGCTCTGGGAACCTGCCTGTAGGCGCCACAGCTCTTTTGATCGGGAGGTCCCTCCTGGCGTCTAACCACCACTCTGCTGGCTGCACACAGCCCCCCCTCCCGGACCCCACTCACCTTCATGGGCTCCGTCAGGGAGAACTGCGGCTGGCAAGGTGGGCGGCTGTACACCAGGATGGTGCGGACCACGTAGGGGGGCGGGATCGTCTGCACATTCTCCGTGACTGGCAGCTCAGTCTTCTGCTGGCTACATGGGGGAGGGTGGGGGACAGGTCAGAACGCACTCTGGGGTCTGCCCTTCCTGTCACCCTCGGAGAGCCCAGGCCTTCAGTGGGCATGCAAAGCCCCACAGGACCCTTCCCGAGTTCACTGCTGCCTCTGAGCCTTCCCACATGCTGTTCCCTCTGCCTCCCCAGGGCCTTCCCGGCCTCCCACTTCTGCCTGGCCTCTCCTGCTCTATCAGGGAGACTTCGCTGACCCCGAAGCTGGAGCCTGCTCTGGTCACCCTCACCATCCTGCACATCGGCCCTGCCGCTGACCTCAGTTGTACCTGTTGCACCAGGCCGGAAGACTCTACGGCAGGGACCCAATCTTATCTAAGTTAGCACCAAGGTCCCCAATCAGCCACAGCTGGCTCTCACGCTGGGCACAGGGCATTAGGCGGGCAGAGGGCTAACGTCTTTAACATGTGGAAAGCAAATCTGATTGTTAATAAGAAAACAGCAGACACCTCCCTAGGAAAATGGGCCAAGGGGACAAACAGACAAATCACTGCCTGAAGCTGAATGGCTTACAAGTGAATGAAAAAAGGCTCAAAGGAAAACACAGAGAAAGCAACAGGTGGCCTCTTGCCACTGTCAGACAGAAGCTTTCCGGTGCCGGGGGAGGAGCACAGGGCTGGTTTTCTGGAAAGTGCTCCGTCTGGTAAAGTCTAGCAGATTAAAAACACACACCCCTTGGGTCCAGCATGTCTTCCATTGGGAATTTACAGGATGGGTTCACTTGCAAAATTCGCTGAGACAGTTTGCTACCAGGTTAATCATGACGGGAAGGGCAAAACAAGATCCATGTCCGTTTTAGGGGGCGGGTTGGATGACTAGGGCCCATACGCTACAAGCGGCTTTTACATTCTTAAAGGGCTGGGGGCGGAATTCAAAAGGAGACCATTCTGTGACACGTGGAAATGCTGTGAAATTCAAATTTCAGCGTTCATCAATAAAGTTTTATTGGCACACGGCCACAGCCCCTTAGGTAGGTATGGCTTGTGGCTGTTTGCACGTTACTCGGGCCGAACCCAAGTTACTGACACAGAGGCCACATGCCCTGCAGAGCCGGAAATGTTTACAGAAAGTTTGCTGCCCTCTGGATTGAAAGAACGGTATGGGGGTCCTCAGGGTCGTCACGGACTAAAATGGAAGGCGAGGTGCGGGGAAGGCAGTACTTACATGAGGCTGAAGAGACCTTCCAGATCTGGCAGGGATGCTAAGGAGAAGGCTGGTGGCAGAGCGTGGGGAGAGCATCATCCTGATGACAGGAGAGCCTAGGCTCCTTCGCACCCAGTGCCGTGTACGATTGTGCAGGAGACATGCTGTGTGACCCTGGCCCAGTCACTTGCCCTGTCTGAGCCTGTTTTCCCTCAGCACAGATCACAAAACAGGGGGGCTGGCACAGGATGGCCTGAAAACCCTTGGTGACTCCAAGTTCCCTTTCCCTCCCAGCCAGGACAGCTGCCCTCACTATGAGACCCATGGGGTGGCCCATCCCCTACCTCCCACCACTCGGCAATGTTTTCTAACTTCTTTTCTTTTTTTTAATGTTTTATTTATTTCTGAGAGAGAGAGAGAGAGAGAGAGACAGTGTGACCAGGGGAGGGTCAGAGAGAGAGGGAGACACAGAATCAGAAGCAGGCTTTAGGCTCTGAGGTAGCCATCAGCACAGAGCCCGACGTGGGGCTCGAACCCATGAACCGTGGAGATCATGACCTGAGCCGAAGTTGGACACTTAACTGCTCTTCAGCACTGTTTTCTAACTTATTTTCTCTCTAAGTTTTGGGCTGTATGTGAACCTTTGTGTTTAAATTAGCATAAAATGTGCCCAGGTTGGAGGGGTTATAGTAGTGATTGTGACTTTTCCGTCACATATTGCCATTTATTGAGCACCAACTGTATACTTGGTGCTGGACAGAGTGCTCCCCATGTGTGTGGTTTTGAAATTTAGTGTCTAGTTTTGACATCTAGAGTCTAAATCAGCTTTTTTTTTTTTTTCTTCAGTATTATGACTTTAACGGCAAGGGCGCCTGGCTGGCTCAGTCAGTTGAGTGTCCGACTTTGGCTCAGTTCACGATTGCGTAATTTGTGAGTTTGCGCCCCGCGTCAGGCTCTCTGCTGACAGGTCAGAGCCTGGATCCTGATTCGGATTCTGTGTCTCCCTCTCTCTCTGCTCCTCCCCTGCTGATGCTGTCTCTTTCTCTCAAAAATAACCAAACATTATCTTAACAGCAACCCTAGGGGGAAGGAGGTTTTGTGCCTCCCATTTTAGAGATGAAAAAACTGAGGTTCGAAGAGGTGACTTGCCCGAGTTTGTAGTGGCAGAACTGGGATCTGGACCTGAGCCAGGCTCGGCCAGCCTGACCTCCACGGGTCAGGCTTCTGGGGTTCCAAGACAACACAGCCCAGCCCCCGCCACAGGGCACCCCTGCCCAGAAGGATACTGAAGGTGGAGCAGGAAGCCGTCTCTAGGTCATAGAGGCAACTGCAGAGTTCACGGGGATCGGAGGTCAGGCCGGACAGCTGCGGGGAAGCACAAGCCTCAGTGAGGTACTTCTTCCCCCCCCCCCCGGAGCCCCCCAGGCACCCAGGCCCTGCCCCAGCCTCACCCAGGCGATGTCATCATTCACCACCACCAGTGCGAATTCGTGGCTCTTGTCGATCTTGTGTTTTGTCCGCACGAACATCTCAATCATCTTCTGGGAGACGTTGAGGGCATTGGTTTTGGAGCTGGGGAGGGAGAGCGAGTAAGGCCGGGTCAGGCCTCCTGGCCTGGGGGGTATCTCCTCACCTGCCTATCCTTTTTTTTTTTTTTTTAATTTTCTTTTTAATGTTTTATTTATTTTTGAGAGAGAGAGAGAGACAGCATGAGCAGGGAAGGGTTAGAGAGAGAGGGTGACACGGAATCCGAAGACAGGCTCCAGGCTCTAGAGCCCAATGCGGGGCTTGAACCCACAAACCGTGAGATCATGACCTGAGCCGAAGTCGGACGCCCAACCGACTGAGCCACCCAGGCACCCCCTCACCTGCCAATCCTAGGGAACCCTCCACGGCAGTCCAGGATTTGGCACCAGAGGCCCAGGCACTGCCTCAGGGAGTCTGCCCTCTCCAAATGGGTTCCTCTGGCCAGCCTGGGTCCCATACCTGATCCTCATGGGGTCTCCCCCAGACCTTCACTCACCCCCCGCAGCTCCTTGGGCCCCACGTAGGCCCTGTCACCCAACCCCACAGAGACTCAGCCGCTCAAGCCCAGGGCTTCAGGGTCCACTAGGCCTGGGTCTGAGTCCTGGCTCTGTCCATTTCCTGTGAGGTCTTGGGCAAGTCACTTTACTTCTCAGGGTTTCTGAGTCACTGCTGTGACGCGGGTGGCACATGATAGCTCTCGCATGCTTGCAACAGAGCCCTGGTGGGCCGTGCTGTGTTATTCTCAGTTGTCATTGCCGCTCTGACAGCGCCAAGCCCCAGGCCAGGCCAAGCTGGTGTTAAGTCTCAGAGAGCGAGAGAGCCCTGAGTGTGCTGGGCTCAGCCCCAAGCCGCGACTGCAAACTCAAGCCCCCAAGTGTTCCTCTCACCCGTTGAATGACTCCAGCTTTGACAGCGACATTTCCTCTGACAGGTCCAAGCAGATGATCTGCAAGAAGGTTGGAGGGAGGTGAGGGCACCGGGCCGGGCGGCACCTAGTGACGTTAGCGCTGGCCCACACAGCACGGGCCCGCTCTAAGCAGCTCTGTCTGGAAAGGTGGTGTGATGACCCCTAATCCTCAGCCAAGCACTCGAGGTCGGAAGACAGAAGTTCAAGGCAATCAGCACGAGACCAGGAGTCCGGGTTTCTGAGTGCGTAAACGAACCAGAGAACATCTGACCCGGAAACAGGAAAACGAAGGGACGGTGGGTGGCATTGGGCCCCATCCCCCACAAAGATGGGCCCTACCTAGAGCCTCAGAATGTGACTTGTTTTGACATTAGGGTATTTGCTAATGGAACTAAGACACAGATCTTGAGATAAGATGAAGACCCGTGTTCAATGACAAGGGTCCTTATCAGAGAAGGAAGGCTCAGAGGCACAGACAGGAAGGCTGCGTGAAGACAGAGGCAGAGACGAGTGATGTGGCCCCAAGGACTGGGGGAGGCAAGGAAGGACCTTTCCCTACAGCCTCCAGAGGGAGCATGGCCCTGCCCATACCTCGATTTCAGACCTCTGGCCTCCAGAATAGCGAGAGGATACACTTCTATTGCTCTAAGCCATCCAGTCTGTGATAATTTGTTGGGGCAGCTCTAGAAAACTCCTACGAAGTGACTGTTTGCAGAGTGACTGCCAGAAGGCAAGAATATTAAACCCGAGGGTCTCTGACACCTCTAGCCACAGGCCACGCCCCTCACTTACCACCTTCTCTGGACAGTTGACCCGTGGCGTCCGCACCTGGACTTCAGCGGCTGTCGGGGGCACCTGCCAGGGCTTGGGGCCAGCTCCGGGAGGATTGGCGGTCCCATCATCCGCACTGGCAGCCTCACCCTCACCCTCGCTGCGGCTGCCCACGCTGGCCTGGGCCCCCAGTGCCCGGTCCTCAGCCCCCTCAGGGTTGGAGCGCGTGCGGGGCCTGGGTTCGGCTGACTGCTCCTCTTCCTCTTCCTCCTCCTCCTCCTCCTCCTCAGTGGGGCTGCTTGGCTCTGCCACCTCCATGGCCCCTGAGTGGCTGGATGGAGCAGGCTTGGGGGAAGCCAGGTTCCTCCCCTTAGGGGTTTTAAAAACATTTGGTTACTGGGTGGGACGCGGCATGAACTGCTTAATGACTGTAAAAATCACTCCTCTCTGGCCTCAGTTTCCTCATCTGTAGAATGGGTGCCGAGCATCCGCTCTGACTTAAGGTAATGGTCTCTCATTTTTTTCCTGCAGAAATAACCACCCTCCTTGGCCAATGAACAAAGCTGGGCACCATGAATGGCTCAGAGACGGGGCATGACCCAATACACGCCAGTGAGGGGCAGCTCTGGGACTTCCAATAGTGCCATTAGGGAAGAGGGATTCGTTAGAATTGCAGAGCTAGGAAGGCAGAAGTCAAGAGCTGCCAGGAGTCTCTTTTGCCTCCAGAGGGGAAAGGAAACCTGCCTGAAGAGCTGCTCACCCAGAAAACGGCAGTTACACGTCTGGGCACCTGGATGAGCTATGCTTGTGGGAACCTGAATAAAGGAAGCTTCATTTAAAATGGAGACCAGAGGCCAAAAGGGGGCGCTCTCCCTGCTACTAGAATGTAGACTCCCAACAGCAAGAGAGATATCTTGCATTCCCAACAGGAAGACTATACTAACTAAGCAAGAAATTAAAAGATTTTCTCCGTGCCTGCCAACAGCCCAGCCAATGACAGACTGTCACAACTTAGTCAGTGAAAAGCCACTCAACTTCAATTTCCCAGTGTACACTAACGGATTTGGGGGTTATAACAGCCCTTCCAATTCCCCTTTCCTCTAGAAAAGGGCACTTCTCTCCTTTGTTCTGGACTTGCCTAAGGTTTTCCTGTATCTCCTGTATTCTGAATTACAATTCTCTGCTATTTCCAAATCTCTTTTTCGCTGGTAAAATAACTGACAGTTTTAATTTTAAGATGAACAGAATAATTAGCTGGGGTGTGCCCGGTGGCAGGGGTGGGGGTGGGGGGAAGCTTAACGGGTAGAGAGAGCATGCACTCTTGCTCTTGGGGTTGGAGACCCACGTTGAGCGTAGAGATTACTTAAAAACAAAAACTTAAAAAAAAACACGTTTATTTATTTATTTGGAGAGAGAGGAGCAGAGAGAGAGAGGGAACGAGGGAGAGAGAGAGAATCACAAGTGAGCGCCACATTCAGCACGGAGCTGGTCATGGGGCTTGATCTCCTGAACCGTGAGATCGTGACCTAAGTCAAAATCAAGAGAGGGAGGCTTAACCGACTGAGCCACCGAGGTGCCCCCTTGAAAATAAAATTTTAAGAAACAGTAATAATAATTACCTCTGGGTTCTTCTCCAGTGGCACTGGGCTGTCTAGAGAGTGTCTGCATAAAGGAAGGGCAAGAATCTAGGTGTTAAAAGTCCCTTTGAGGATGGACACCAACAGTTTGCCTATCTGGGCACGGGTGTGGGCTGATGTCCCTGTGGTCTGCGTGCGCCTTGCAACCCCCACAATCTCTAAGGAAAACAATACTTTAGCTTCAGCAAGACAGATGGAGGCTGGACTGAAGGAGACGCCAGAGCTGAAGGCGGAAGCCTCAGGGAAGGCTAGGGGCTGGACCTCTAGGGACGGGACCGCAAGCACCCAACCTCTTCTCACCGTAGCCTGAGCCTCCCTCCGACTCAGCCGAACGCTGACTAGGAAACCGCCATCTTTCGCAGCCCGGAAGTAGTGAGGCGCGGGCGCGACGCCTCCTGGGAAATGTAGTTCAGCAAGCCGTCAGTCTTCGGAGAGCCGGAAAGGGGGGAGGGCTGGGGAGCCTTGAAAGCTGATAGGCTGGGACTGTGCTTGGGGGTGGGGTTTGGAATGTGATTGGTTAAAGCAAGAATAGCCGGAGGTTTTTATGTTTCTGGCCGAATCAGGTACGCTGGTCAGCGCTTCTACCCTGATAGGCTGGGACAAGGCCTAGAGAAGTGGGGCTTTCAATCGAAGAGGCTCAAAGGGATGGAGGAGGCCTCACTTGCAATGTGATAAGCTGAACACAGGTGACTTGGGCGGGGTTTAGAAGAAGAGGGGGGGCTGACTGGTGATTTGTAGGGCTGACCTAGCCCTCAGTGAGGGGCGGATTATTGTGGATCCAAGTGGGCGTGGCCCAGGCCCCAGATCCTTCCCAGTTACTTTATTCTCTTCCGTATTATATATACCTTTGAGCCCAAACTATTTCAAACCACCCTTTCTTCTTCATGTGCACTCCTCCTCTTACCCATAACCATTTTTTAAAAAGAGATCGTCTCTTTCTTTCTTTTTTTACTTTTAAAAATGTTCATTTATTTTGAGAGAGAGAGAGAGAGAGAGAGAGAGAGAATCCCAAGCAGGCTCTGCACTGTCAGAGCAGAGCTCGAGGTGGGGCTCGATCTCGGTGAACCGTGAGATCATGACCTGAGCCGAAATCAAGAGTTAGATGCTTAACCAACTGAGCCACCCAGGCGCTCCACCCCCCAAACCATTTAAAACTCATTTTGAGGGGGCACCTGGGTGGCAGCTCAGATCCTGGACCCTGTGTCTCCCTCACTCTCTCGGCCCCTCTCCCACTCGTGTTCTCACTCTCTCAAAAATAAATAAGCATTAAAATTTTAAGGAAAAAAAACCACTTTAAGGGGCACCTGGGTGGGTCTGTTGGTTAGGCATCAGACTCTCTCTCTGTGTTTTTTTTTTTCTTTTTTCTTTTTTCACTGTCAGACTCTTGATTTCAGCTCAGGTCATGATCTCATGGTTTGTAAATTCTTTGAGCCAGGCGTGGGACTCGTCACTGACAGTGCAGAGCCTGTTGGGGATTTTCTCTCTCTTTCCCTCTCTCTGCTCCTCTTTCGCTCACACTCTCTCCCTTTCTCAAAATACATGAATAAACTTAAAAAAAAAAACACCAACCACTTGAGCCTCAGTTTATGTGTAAAAGGGTCAGTTAAACCTGTCCTAAGCCGGCCTCTGGTGATTGACAGCCAGAAGGAGTTATGTAAGGTGAGTCTCAAGGATGGAGAACTTGCTAGAAAAACAAGAGAATGAAAGGCATTCCAGAAAGAAGGAACCACCTTTGTAAAGGTCCGGAGGTTTGCAGGCACCTTGGAGTGGTGAAGCCTTTAAACAAGTTAATATGGCTGGAGCAGAGGCTAAGAGTGCAGATTTCAATGTGCCTGGGTGCCCCCAAGTCAGAGAATTGCAACTTCTTGCCCTGTCACCTTTGGGGACACAGAAGTAGCAAGATTCAGCCTCCTGGTGTCAGTGAAATGAGGAAGAGTCAGGCAACTCCAGGCTCTCCAGTGAAGAAACAAGGAAGAATGTCTCAGACAACGGTTACAGCATAACCAAAGGCCCTGGAGTGTAAGTGTTGCAAACCTTCAATTGTTCACAGAGGGGGACATTGTGGCTGAAGCATGGAGTATACATGGATGCAGGCAGCAGGCATAATTTTTAAGGGCCTCAAAAGCCAGGTAGAAGAGCTTGAAATATTTCCCAAGGGCAATGGGGAGTCATGGAGGGTGCGTGAGCAGAGGTGAACAATGAGGTCTCTGTCTCTGGGATCTGGGTAGGGAAGGGCGTGGAGGGGTGGCTGCAGAGTCCAGGGGGAGAGCTGGGCTGGCATCCAGGTAGGAGGGGTGAGGCTTGGGCTCTTATGGATGGAGATGATGAGGTCTTTTAGAAATGGCTGCAGGAAAATTGGGCAGGATGTAGGAGCTATCTGGGCTCTGAGGAATCCAACACATACACAGGAGAAACAGCAGCTGGCAGAGAGAGCAGAGATGGGAGGACCAGGGAGGTGGGGAACAAGCTATTACAATTCAGTTGCTTGTTTTTTTAAGACAAAGTTTTTAAAATTTTTTATTGATTTATTTTTAAATTTTTATTTATTTCTGAGAGAGAGAGAGAGAGACAGAGTGAGCAGGGGAGGGTCAGAGAGAGAGGGAGACACAGAATCTGAAACAGGCTCCAGGCTCAGAGGTAGCTGTCAACACAGAGCTCGACGCGGGGCTCAAACCCACGAACCGTGAGATCATGACCTGAGCTGAAGCCGGAGGCTTAACCGACTGAGCCACCCAGGGGCCCCGCAAATTGCTTGTTAAAATTTCCAGGACACTGTAGAAAAATGCTATAATTACCCCCCCCAAACACAAACAAATTTTACAGATAAGAAAAAGGAGGTTCAGAAATGGAGGAGACATGAGATCAGAGGCTAAGGTGAGGGGCAAGTGACCCCTTTGGAACTGGGCACGTGTCCCCAGCTGATGGGACTGGAGGAAGCTGATGTCCTTGAGGAGGAAACAGCACAATAACAAGTCACATGACCAGGGGAGGGGGCTTCCTGTTTCCTGGCCCCTCCCAAGCCAGCCTTGGGCAGCCCAGGCCTCAGCAGGCAGTGGCCAGGGCTACCCCAAGAGTGTCCAGGGATTTGGGCCGCTGACCCAGGTGCTCCCAGAGGCGCAGAGGAGTAGAATTTGAGCAGGCTGAGGAGGCCCAACTCCAAGATTGGGGCCTCTGGCTCAAAAGAGCCCAGGGGAGGAGAGGTGACTCTTTAAGTCGTTGAGCCAGGCCCAGACTGGGGAGCACAGAGGTCGTGAAAGATAAAGGAGGTAGAGGAGAAAAGGAGGTCGGAACGATTTTTGGAGATAGTGAGCTGCTTGTCGAGGGAGGCATTCAAATGCACCACATCAACATTGATAACTCAAGATCCCTTCCAAAGGGAGACAATCAATGCCCATTTCACAGAAGAGGAAATTAAGGTTACTCAGGACTACAAGGACAAGAGCTGAGATCAGGCTGCAGGTTTAAGGGGAGAGGAAGAAGTTAGATCCGGAGGACTGACTTCCGGACGACAATGAGTGCTCGGGCCACGCGACCTCGAAGCCGGCGAGGGAGGCACGCTCCGCCTGTAAGTGTCCCCCTCTCCGCCACACGCAGCTCTTTGGGGCCGCTCATAGCCTGGCTTCAGAGCTTGGTCCCGGGGGTCATTTTCAGGGGGAGCTCGATCCTGTGGCAGAGAGTTCAGAGGAGGCAGAGGCAGCCAGCGGGAGCTCTGAGCCGGGCCCTGCACCATCTCAGGAGAGCTGCAAGCCGGGGCTGCCGGGGCCAGAGGCGGAGGCCAGCGGGCAGGGCTCGGAGGGCAGGTGAGGCCCGCTTGGTCTGTGGTCCCCACTCTAACTCTGGGACGACTTCCCTACCCATAGATCTGCCTGCGTTCCTCCCTTGCCCACATACATGCCGTAGCTTCCTATTGCCCTCCTCAGCCCAACTTTTAAGGCCCTGGATAATACATCCCCTGTGAGTTAACCAACCCAGATGACCCCATTTCCAGAGTCTCCACGTCTCACCTCACTACAGGACCAACAAAGAGGCTGCGGAGGACTCTAGCCCGGGACTGGCCCCATCTCTCAAGGGACCACATGAGCCTGCAGAGGAAGGTCACCAGGCCACAGATGTAGCCCCACCGACGGGGGAGCCGGGCCCCCCCAGGCCTGGAGCCTCTGATGTGTTTCAGATTCTCCAGCATGCTCTGAGCTCGCTGGAGGCTGCCGCCGCTGCCTGGCGCCGCCAGCCCCCAAGCCGTCCTGGGCCCGTGGAGGCAGAGGACAGAAGCGAGGCAGGACCAAGGCCCTGCTCAGAGCAGGAGGGAGTCGGGGGGTGCCAGAGGGAGGCAGCCCGCCTGGCGGAGAGGAATGCCTGGCTGCGATTGGCCTTGGGCAGCCGAGAGGAGGAGCTGACTCGCCTGCAGGCCTCGGTGCAGGCCATCCAGGCAGAAAAGGTGATGCTGCAGAGAGAGGTGAGTGGGGCAGCTCCCTGTCTAAGGCGGAGGTGCGCCTAGCAGAGGCAACGTTCCATCGTTTGCTCCCTAGAAAAACTTTTATGGAGGGGCGCCTGGGTTGGTTCAGTCGGTTAAGTGACCAGCTTCAGCTCAGATCATGATTTCACAGGTTCGTGAGTTCAAGCCCCGCGCCGGGGCTCCCTGCTGTCGGCACAAAGCCTGCTTCCGATCCTCTGCCTCCCTCTCTGTCTCTCTCTGCACCTCCCCAGCTCGCGCGCACGCATGCTCTCTCTCTCAAAAATAAATAAACATTTAGGGGTGCCGGTGAGTTCGAGCCCCGCATTTTTAAAATTAAAAATAAAAATAAACGTAAAAAAAAAGTTTTACAGAGCATTGACTGCTGAGCCCTGAATAGATAAAAGTCCCTTGCCCAGGCGGGGGTGTGGTTCAAGGAACAGTGAGGAGGCCAGTGAGAGGCGAAGGGAGGGCAGGGCGGTGATGGGGGCAGATTCACAGGGTCGTGGGGCTTTTGGGAGTTGAGCTTTTGCTTCCCGAGTCCGCTGGGAACTTGGAGGATTCCCACCGCTCCGCCCCCCCTCCGCGCCGCGCGACCAAAAAGGGGCGGGACCTGGCGGAGGGGGTCCCAGGCGCCCTCTGGCGGCCCCGGGAGGAACGGCGAGGGCGGCCTCCTGGCGGTCCAGGGGGCACCGGTCCAGACACCAGATGGTAGAACTTGTGGAGGTGGCACGAAATGGGAAGGTTCTGGGTGGCGTCGAAGGTGTCGCTGGCAGGCTTGGGGCTGAAGCTAGAGGAGGGTTGAGGGCAAGTCGTGGTTTGCGAGCCTGCGGGACTGGAGGCGAGAAAGGGGGAGGCCGCAGGAGGGGCGGGCTTGGTGGGAGGGGGGCCAGAAGCGGTTCGGGTCCTAACGAGCACCAGGCATCCATGAGCCACCATGTGGGGCCATCAAAGAGACAGTTCTGTGTCTGAGTCCAGACATCGGGGCGATGTCGGGGTAGGAGAAACGCATTTGGGCCTCCTTGGCATGTGGATGCAGCCCAAGGTCATGTGGCGAAGGACGTCGTGGGACACTGGTCCTCATCTCGGGAGGGATCTGGTGGCAAGATACTGGACTGCCTGAGCCCGGCCTGAGGGGTGGGGCCCACTTCCTGGCTGGGGATGAAAATGCCCCCTCCACATTCCTCTCCCCCCCCACCCCCTCTAGCAGCCACCGCTCTGTTCTCTGTATCAGTGAGTTTGATGTTTTGTCTTATTTTGTTTTGTTTTAGATTCCACATAGAAGTGAGGTCATAAAGTATTTGCCTTTCTCTGTCTGACTTATTTCACTTAGCGGAATGCCCTCAAGGGCCAGCCATGTAGTTGCAAATAGCAAGACTTCGTCTTCTTCTTCTTTTTTTTCTTAATTTCATTTTTAGGGACACTTGGGTGGCTCATTCGGTTAAGTGTCCCCTTCTTGATTTCAGCTTGGGTCATGATCCTGGTGTCATGCTCAGCACGGAGCCTGCTTAAGGCTCTCTCCCTCCCTCCCTCCCCTGTTTGATCTCTCTCTTAAAAAAAAAAAATAGGGCACCTGTGTGGGTCAGTTGGTTAAGCATCCAACTTTGGCTCAGGTCATGATCTCACAGTTCATGAATTCGAGCCCCACGTCAGGCTCTGTGCTGACAGCTCAGAGCCTGGAGCCTGCTTTGGATTCTGTCTCTCTCTCTCTCTCTCTCACTGCCCCTCCCCTCTCCCTCTCAAAAATAAATAAACGTTAAAAAATATATATATATTTAAAAAAAGATTTTATTTTATTTTTTAAAAATGTTTTATTTTTATTTATTTCTGAGAGACAGTGTGAGCAGGGGAGGGTCAGAGAGAGAGGGAGACACAGAATCTGAAACAGACTCCAGGCTCTAAGCTAGCAGGGCTTGAACCCACGAACTGTGAGATCATGACCTGAGCCGAAGTCAGATGCTTAACCAACTGAGCCACCCAGACGCCCCAAAGATTATTTATTTTGAGAGACAGAGAGAGAGAGAGAATGAGTGGGGGAGGGGCAGAGAGAGAGAGGAAGAGAGAGAATCCCAAGCAGGCTCCATGCGGGTCCGCAGAGAGCCTGATGTGGGGCTCGATTTCCTGACCATGGGATCATGATCTGAGCTGAAATCAAGAGTCACATGCTTAACTGACTGAGCCACCTGGGGATCCTCTAAAGAAAGAAGATTCTTGGGGTGCCTGGGTGGCTCAGTCGGTCAAGTGTCCAACTTCGCTCAGGTCATCATCTCACCACGGTTCGTGGGTTTGATCCCCGCGTTGGGTTCTGTGTGGGCAGCTCAGAGCCTGGAGCCTGTTTCAGATTCTGTCTCTCTCTCTCTCTCTCTCTGCCCCTCCACTGCTCATGCTCTGTCTTTCTCTGTCTCAAAAATAAACCATGAAAGAAAGAAAGAAAGAAAGAAAGAAAGAAAGAAAGAAAGAAAGAAAGAAAGGATTCTTGAGTGGCTAAGTGAATTGCCCTTCCCAACTGGGGCCTTGCCACTGTCCCAGAAAGGTTTTTTTGTTGTTGTTGTTTGTTTGTTTATTATTTTTGAGAGAGAACACAAGCAGAGGAGGGGCAAAGAGAGAAGGAGACACAGAATCGGAAGCAGCTCCAGGCTCGAAGTCTGACGCTTAGCTGACTGAGCGCCCCCAGGCGCCCCTCCCAGGAACAGTTCTTAAGGAGGCCTGGTAGTTTGGGCCATAGGGGGTCAGTTTAGTAAAGCGCCTGACTCTTGACATTGGCTCAGGTCATGATCTCATTGATTGTGAGATTGAACCCCATATTGGGCTCTGTGCTGGCTGTGAGGTGCCTGTTTGGGATTCTCTCTCTCTTCCTCTCTTTCTGACTCTCTCCCATGCACAAATGTGCTCTCTCTCTCAAAATAAATAAATAAACTTAAAAAAAAGGGGGAGGGCTGTGGTTGGTTGGAGCCTCCAGGCCTGACCTACTCCATCCCTCCCCCTCCCCAGGTCGAAGAGCTCCAGGATTCCCTGCTGAGGCTGGAGCCCTTCCCACCTCCCTCCCGTGGCCGAGCAGGTGGCTCGGGCAGCGGCTCCAGCAGCTCTGGGGTAGATGAGGAGCCCTGGGGGCCTCAGGTGAGTGTGGGAAGCTCAAAACCACAATCTTGAGATCTGTAGGATTTGGAGCAGCGAGACTGAAATCCTGGTCATGCAATCCAGTAGCTTCTGGGCTTGGAAAAGGCCTAAATCTGTGACGCTGGGCTCTCAGCGACAAGCTGGGTGAATCAAGTCACCTCTTTCTGGCAGGACCCCTTCTCCCTGGCTCACCCCCTGCTCCGGCGCCTCCGGAGTGATTCCAGCACTCAGATGCTTGGGCCTCTCCGCACTCAGCCCCTTGGCCCCGAGATGCGCATCATGGAAGCCCAGACGGAGCAGCTCCGGGGGTAAGGGCCACACCTGCTGAGCTCGTAAGGGCACCGGTTCCTTTCCCGCTGGCCTATAAACCCGAGAGTCTGGAGCTGGAATGGAATGGGGAGGAGGGTGGCAATCAGTTGGGTCCTGACTGCCCTTTGGGGCCTCTCATGTTCCCCCTTCCCTAACTTCGGGGGCAGGAGCATCGAGAAGCTCAAATGTTTCAACCATCTGCTGTCAGCTGTGCTGCAGGGGTACAAGGGCCGGTGTGAAGGCCTCAGCATGCAGCTGGGCCAGCGGGAGGCCGAGGCCACAGCCCTGCGTCTGGCCTTGCAGTACAGGTCAGTGCATCCCACCTGTGGTATGGCTAGCATGGGGGTCAGGGTGACCCCCACCCACAGGGAGAGTCAGGGCCCCTGCAGGAAAGCACTTTCCCACCAGAGAATTTGTTTTATTTTATTATTTTTATATTTATTTGTTTTTGAGAGACAGAGAGAGACAGAGCATGAGCGGGGGAGGGGCAGAGAGAGAGGGAGACACAGAATCGGAAGCAGGCTCCAGGCTCCAAACTGTCAGCACAGAGTCCGACGCGGGGCTCGAACCCACGGACCACGAGATCGTGACCTGAGCCGAAGTTGGATGCTCAACCGACTGAGCCCCCCAGGCAACCCCAGAGAAATTATTTTAAAGGCAAGCTTTAGAAAAAATAATAAATAAAGGCAAGCTTAGTCCAAGGGTGCTGAAGGAGTTTATGTGCTCCCAGCAGTGGGGGGAGGGGGACAAAGGGAAGGATCCAGGAGCCAGTGGGGGCGACGGCCACGCAAGACGGAGCCAGGCCTCCCAGAGCACTCAGAATCAGTGTCTCACAGTGAGCACTGTGAGGAGGCGTACGGAGTCCTGCTCACTCTCCGGGAGGCAGATTCGGGGGCAAGAGAGGGAGCCCCTCTGAGTGACCTGGAGGTGGCCGAGAAGGAGGCTCGGAGGCTGCTGGCCGAAGAGGAGGCTGCCGTGGATGGAGGGACACCAGGGAATCCACAGCCAAGGTACCCCTGCGAATCTCGAGAACTGGGAGAGCCAGTGAGTGGGGGTTGTATTAGAGAGTGGGGCTCCCACCGCCGGCTCCGGGTTGGGGTTTGGCATGGCCGGGCCCAGCAAAGTTGGCGTAGGGCTCTCTGTGGTTGGTTGGCATGAGGCCCGAGTAGAGTTGGCTGGTGCTACTAAACAAAGTTGGCATGGCGGTTGGCAGCCACTGGGTTTGGCATAGGACCCACCAGGGATGGCAAGGAGATGGGCGATGGTGCCTGCTGATCAGAACGGGCATGGTGGTGCTTAAGGGGGTTGGCCTGATGCTGGCATGCACGGGGGTTAGCATGATGTTGCCAAACAGATGCAAGCAAGCTGAGCAACGGTACCCATTGGGTTGGTGGGATGGCATCCATCGTGTTGGCAAATGTGATATAGCACCTGCTGAGTTGGTGTGATGGCTTCCAGCATGATGGCTTGAGCAACAGTAATCGTTGACACGATGGTGTTCACTCCATTGTCTTGATGAATAATGGTGCCCTTGGGGTTTACGTTATGGTGTCCACCATGTTGGTAAAACAGCACTCACCACAGAGGGCATAGAATCCATCGTGGTCAGCCAGATGGAAGAAGAGAAGAAGATAAAGCCCATCAGGGTTGGCATGAAGGTAGCACAGCTATGGCCACCAGTGTTGACATTAGACCCCTGTTCTGTTTCCTGTAGCCCTGAGGGCAGCAGTGTGGATGGGCCCACACCGCAGGAGATGGCTACCCAGCTCTGGGGCTATGTCCGGCGTCTCCAGGAGCGCCGTGCTCTGGTGAAGATTCCCCCAGAGCCTGGCCCAACTCTGGCACCCATGCCCACTGTGCCCCATGCGGAAGCCATGGTGCAGGCCATTCTGGGGAACCAGCCTGGCCCATCGCTACCCCGGTTGGAGAAAATCCAGATCCAGCAGGACCTGGCAGCCACACGGGTACACACAGGCAGTGGGCACCGTGTCTGTCTTTTCTGGTGGGACAAAACACTTTGCTGAGGCTTAGAGGGATGTGATTGGGGGACCAAAAAGGAAAGGGGAGTTCTACCTGGCTGGGGGCAGACTTCCTGGAGGGAGGAGAGTTGGAGCTGGGATTTTGAGGGATGAATAGGAGTTTGTCTTCCGGGGGCGCCTGGGTGGCTTAGTCGGTTAAGCGTCCGACTTTCTCTTGGGTCATGATCTCGCGGTTCATGGGTTCGAGCCCCGCGTCGGGCTCTGTGCTGACTGCCAGCTCAGAGCCTGGAGACTGTTTCAGAGTCTGTGATTCCCTCTCTCTCTGACCCTCCCCTGCTCACGCTGTCTCTCTCTCCTAGAAATAAATAAAAACACTTAAAAAAATTAAAAAAAAAAAGAGTTCGTCTTCCGGAATTATGGAAAAAGAATCTCATAAGATTCTTTTTTTTTAATTTTAAAAATTGTTTTTTATTTATTTTTTTGAGACAGACAGAGAGTAAGGTGGGGAGGGGCAGAGAGGGAGAGAGGGAGACATAGAATCTGAAGCAGGCTGTTAGCGCAGAGCCTGATGCGGGGCTAGAACTCACAAGCTGTGAGATTATGACCTGAGCCTAAGTCAGATGCTTAACCAACTGAACCACCCAGGCGCCCCTCTCATAAGATTCTGGAATGTAGCTTTCCCAAGTTTCCTTCCTGTGGAAACGGGATGGGGACATGACCTGCGGTTTATACCCGGGCATGAAAGATCTGAGGTTCAAGAGTTGGAGAAACTCCAGACCCTTCCACTGAGATGCTACTTGACCTTGTCTAAGATATTTCTACTCTCTCTGAACTACCGTTTCTGTAGTTGTCGTTCTTAGGAGGTGACGTTATTTCCCACCATACACGACCACGGGGAGGGTTTGAGTTCTTGCCTGACCAGTCCTCATTGGGTGCCTCCTGGGGCCTCAGTTTCCCCAGATCCTAGCAGCCCAAATTCTCTGCCCACTTCCTGGTCTCTCAGGAGACGCTGGCAGACCTGATGCTGCAGCTGCAGTTGACGCGGCGGGAGAAGCGGGGTCTGGAGCTGAAGGAGGCTGCCCTCCGAGCCCAGGGCCCAGCTCACGCGCTCCTGCGGGAGCAGCTGCGGTGGGAACAGGCACAGCTCTGGAGCGGTGGGGCCGACAGCAGTGGTGGAGACAGCAGCGGAGACGAAGAGGAATCGTCTCAGGCGAGTGGCCCTTCCTGGATCTGGTGGGGACGGCAGTATACTCTGTGGCCCTGGTCAATCCCAGCCTCCTCTGAGCCTCATGGTTAAAGTGCATGTCAAGGTTTAGGGGTGCCTGGGTGGCTCCGTTGGTTAAGTGTCCGACCTCAGCTCGGGTGGTGATCTCGCGGTTCGTGAGTTTGAACCCGTGTTGGGCTCCGTGCTGACAGCTCAGATTCTGTGTCTGTTTCGGATGCTGTGTCTCCCTCCCTCTTTCTGCTCCTCCCCTGCCCATGCTCTGTCTCTCTCTCTCAAAAATAAATAAACATTTAAAAAAATGCATGTCTGGGGTGCCTGAGTGGCTCAGTCGGTTGAACATCTGATTCTGGCCCAGGACATGATCTCACCATTCGTGGGTTTGAGCCCCGCGTCAGACTCTGTGCTGAATGCTTGCTCAGAGCCTGGAGCCTTCTTCCGATTCTCTCAGAAGAGAGTTTAGTGTCTTCCACTCACACCTGTACCTCCTGCTTCCCACACCGAGGGTTATTCGTACTCCAGCATGGCCATTCCAACGGCCCACGCTTCATCTCTTCTTTTTTTTTTAATTAAAATTTTTTTTTTTTTAATTTTTGAGAGAGAGAGAGACAGCGTGAGCAGGGGAGGGTCAGAGAGAGGGGGGGATCCAGAATCTGAAGACAGGCTCCAGGCTCTGAGCTGTCAGCACAGAGCCTGACACGGGGCTCGAGCCCACGGACTATGAGATCATGACCTGACCCGAAGCTGGACGCTTAACTGACTGAGCCACTCAGACGCTCCTTCATCTCTTCTTAAAATTTGGCTCTAGCTTCCTCCCTAAGGCCTTCCCTTTTGCCCCTTCCTATCTAATCATGTCTGTCCTCTGCTTAAAGCCTTCAGCAGCTCATAGAGCCCTTCGGATCATCTCTCCCACTTCTGAGCCCCTGCTAAGAACACTGTCGCTTCCCTCTTTGTCTAATGAAGCCCATGATCTCTTGCAGGTGTGAGCTCAGACATTACCTGTCCTTGGATGTTAGGGAGTCATTTTACCCTAATCAGGGTTTCTCTCAACAGACTGGGGGCTCCGTGAGGCCAGGGGTGGTGGCTGCCACAGTGTGCGTGACTCCGACATCCAGCTTGGGAGGAACTTGCATGCCACCTGAGCCAAGGTCACTTTCCTCCCTTCTGCCTCCCACAGGGCCCCCCAGCCGTTCTTGGTGGCAGCAGGAGCATTGATGGAGGCCAGGCAGGCAAAGTGCAGGACCCGGAGATTCTTGCCCAGGAACTGGCGGCGTCGCTTAACCGGTGTGTTTCTCGGTCCTGGGCTGCGGGGCAGACGGGTCGGGCGGGTGTCTGTGAGAACCCACGGGGGGCACTGTGTGCAGCAGAGCGCAGGGTGTACATCCGTCTACAGGTGAAATACCATGCACAGGTGGGGGGAGGAGGGAAGGAAGACTGGATTGGCTCTGGCTATGAGCTCCCCTCTCCTCACCCCTGCGCCAGGGCCCTGGGCCTGCGGGAGCAGCTGCAGTCTCTGCGGGAGGAACTGGAACAGGTGGCTCAGAAGGGGCGAGCCCGACGTGCTCAGAGTGCGGAGCTGAACAACGATTTATGCAAGGCTCACAGGTGGGTCTCCCTTCCTTGGGTCTCTCCTCGTGACCTCAGAAGTGTCCCTGGCTCTCCCTGGCCTGCAGCTTTCCCATGTAAGGTAGGTGGCAGGTCCAGTCCATCTTGTGCCTCCCCCCTCCCCCATACCCAGTGTTTGCCGGCCCCTTTCTGAGCGGGACCCCAGGAAAACTCAGCCTCAGAGAGCTCCCATCTGGTGCTGGGAACACACAGCTCCTGACTTGGGTGGGATGGGGGGCTGTTTCCTGGCTCAGCCCACTCCCCCCCCTTCCAGTGCCCTGGTCCTGGCCTTCCGAGGTGCCCACCGGAAGCAGGAAGAGCAGCGGAGGAAGCTCGAGCAGCAGGTGGCACTAATGGAGGTCCGACAGGCAGAGGAACTGGAGCTGCTAGAAGCCACCGTAAGGGCACTGGGGAAGCCCAGACCGTCCCGTCTGCCTCCCCGGCTGGGGGAGACCTTTTTGTAGGCCCCATTCTGGCTGTGTCTGCCTGTACCGGACAGCTAGGGCAGGCCACATAAACTGTCCTGGACTGATACTATATCATGTGTGACCTTGAATGTTGGGACCTGTTGGGTGGGATGGAACACTTGGGCGTCTGGGACCTGATGGAGGGGTGGCTGGGCATTTGAGAAGGGCTCCGTGTCGTTGGCCTGGCACCACGTGGCATGCAAGTGTGATATGCCAGCGGGATCATGCCAGAAGTCAGGCCAAATCTAGGGGTTGGCTCAAGGATTCAGGGGTCAGTGAGGTTACATTGCCAGAACTGAAATGCCAGCCCTCATCTGTCTCCAGAAGCCCCCAGGGACAGGGCACCCCTTCCCTTGTCTGTGTCCCCCTTCCCAGGAAGATGCCGGGTTTGGCCTGGTAGGTGCTCCCAAGAGGAAAATGCCCATATCTCAGAAGGAAGACTGAGGGCCTAGCGGCTCAGGGTGTGGAAAATTTGCTGGAAGAGCAATCGCTCCCAAGCTGGAGGTGGGGAGAGGAGGAATCGAAGGGCTTTGGAACTTGTATTCAAAAGAATTTGGAGCTAAGGTAAAGGGCTTTTGGGTTCAGGGCACAGCAAAGGTAAGAAATTAATTAGCAGGCAGCTAATTAGTATTCATTTGCATAGGCCACACCTCCTGGAAAGGGGTGCTTGGGTGGGAACTGGCCAGCCAGATTATTGGCCAGCTAGCTACTCCCTTCCTGGTTAAACGCTGAAACCCAAGACTGGGATGGGAAAGATTTTCACCCCCAGCCTGGTGGTGGTGATTCCCAGCCCACATCCGCGCTGGTGTGTGCGGTGATTGCCTTTTCCAAGGGAGGGCAAGGCGGGCAGACTTCAGGCCCATCAGGGGCCTGGACTCAACCCAGGCCTCCTGACGCACAACTCCTCAGGGATCATGGGCTGGTGACCTTCGGACTGTGCAATCTCTCTGGATGACAGCCAGCTTGGAAGAAAGCAGGGAAACTGAGGAGAACAAGGTCCTGAGGAGGGTCAGAGGAACCGACCTTATCCCCTTTTGTCTGTCGCCAAAAGTGCAAGAGTGACTTCTTTAAGCCAACCGCCGCCCCCCCCCCAATCCCACTAGTTTGCCCGCGGTAGGGGGAGGGCGCAAAGGGAGACAAGGTCACCTGCTTAAGGGTGGGGAATGAGCTTGCGCTGTTGGAGGGGTCTGGGGCCGGTTCCCAGGCCGCCGGGAGCCAGGTCTGGCCGTTCCCACGGGTGCCCCCTCGGCAGATGGGCCCAGGCCTCTTTGTCCGCGGTCCGCAGCCGCCGCAAGGTCAAATGTCACCGCGGGGCCGCGCGCAGGGGTCAAGGAGGCGGGGCCGGACCTCGGCCCACCCCTAGGAGGGCCCCAGGGGTTTCAGGGGCTCCCGCGCTACGGGGAGGGGGCGGGGCGGCAGCCGAGGGATCGGACCAACCGGAGATTCTAGGATCTGCAGCGGATTTGTCCCTAGTCTCCAAACCGGCCCCAGACTGCCGCTTCTGAGCCTCACCTACCTCGGACTCGTGTTCCTCAAGCCCTAGGTCCCTGCCCCCTGCCCTCTCCAGTCCCCCTTCTGATTCCCTTCCCGGGACTTTCCCTTCGGAGACGTACCCCCAGCCCCCCAAGCAAGAATCCTGGAAAGCCCAGACCACGGACCTAGGACCCCTGTCCTCACCCCGAATAACCAGCCAGCACCTCCACATTCCCAGGGAGCCCCTGGGAGAACAAATGGTCCTCTCTAACCATCCAGACCCTCTCCTCCTGCAGGGCTTACAAGGGCAGAGAAGTCCACTTTAGTAGGTCTCATGGAAAGTCCTTGCTCATGTCTAACTCCAGTCCTTGCTTTCCTGTGCTTGCCTTGCTAAAACCTCTTCCAACTCGCACCCAGCCAGACTCTCCCTGGGAGGTCCAGAGGCCCAGGGCTGGGTGTGTGGTGCCTGGCTTTTACAGAACCTTGGTATCCTCTTAAATGTTGCATGATCTCCAAGATCTCCCCAGCCCCCCACCCACGGTATCCCCTCAGATGTAATCTGGAGAAGGGGCTACATTTTCCCATGGCCCCTTCCGGCCAGGGGAGGGCAGGGGAGGGGGCAGAGGGCAGTTTTCCTGCCCGCAGCCATCAGAGGCCCAGCCACGTGCCCTGGTGTCCAGCTCGGGCCCAGGGCCCAGGGCCGGGCAGGAGATAAGGCCTGCAACTGGACCTGCGGGACTCCAAGGTGAAAGGTCACCGTAGGAAGGGCTTTTCCAGCTGGTTAAAAGTTAACAGGCCCAGAGCTAGAGGCTCAGGCCTCCCCAACCCGGGGGAGGGGGGGCTGCCTGGGCCAGAGTTTGGGGAGGGCGACAAACAAAGGGTGCTTAATAAATGCTGGTCGGCCCTACCAGGGGTGGGGGGTGGGAAGAGGAAGCCAGGGACGGGTGGGGGGAGTCTATAAGCCAGCGGCAACTGAGAGGCTCCAGGGAGCCTGGAAGAGACATCTGCAGTCCAGCCGGTGGCCCAGCCAAGCCCTTTATGTGAAGCACAGAAAAGGAAATTAAAAAGGAAAAGGGGCAGGCGGCAGTAGGGATGGTGGGCATTCTGGCTGCCTCCCACCTAGCTGGGCGGGTGGGTGCCCTGCCCCCAGAGGCCTAAAATCCTGGAGAGGGGGCCCCTGACCTCGTGCCCCCGTCGGCCGCAGACCACAACAACACCCCTTGGCCCTGGAGATTCCCAGCACCAGGTGTTAGCCGAAGCTGAGCAAGGGTGGGGTGGGGGTCGGACGCGGCGACTTTCTGGAAGAGGAAACAAACACAATCCATCAAGCAACTGTGCAAAGAAATGCCCCAGGGTGTGTGTGTGTGTGTGTGTGTGTGTGTGTGTGTGTGTGTGTGTACTGCGCAGGGGCGTGCCCCCCGGGTGCAACTGGCCCCCATTATTGCTTCTGCGCGGAATGGAGGGGTAGGGTTCCGAGGGGCGCCTCGAGGGCGGTTGAGCGGCGCATCGTCCAAGGCCGGAGGTGGAGGGGAGGGCTTGGAGAGACATCTTGGCGAGGCTGCGGAAGGGCAGAGGGCAGCGGCGGCCCAGGCTCCCGCCGCGGCCCGGCAGGGGTTAAGGCTGGAGTCGGGCGAGGGCGGGGGTAGGGGGAGAAGGAGGGGGGGAGGGTCAGGCCGAGCGGCCCCGTGCTCCGCCCTCGCCCCTCCCGCCTGCCCGGGCGCCGGGCGCCGAGCGAGGCCACCCATGCCCTTATAAGGGTGGCCGTCGCCGGGGCAACGAGCGCCCGCCCCCAGCCCGCGGCGCGCGCCCCTGCCCCCGCCCCCGCCCCCCGCCCGCCCCGCGAATGGAACGTTGTGTGTCAAACCGGCCGCAGCGCGAGACCGGCGCGCGGGGTCGGCGGCGGCTGCGAGAGCGAGGCTCGGGCCCAGGCGCAGGCCCAGGCCGGGCAGGCGCGGCCGCAGAGGGGGCGGCAGCTCGGGAAGCGCCGGCCCGCAGGCTTGCAGGCCGCGAGCGGACGCCTGGGGACCCGGGGGAGCCAGGGGGCGCGGCGACCGGCCCCGGCGCGCGGCTACCGCCCCTCCCCCGCGCCGCGGGCGGCCGCGTAACTTGCGGCCAAACTTTCACCCCGGCCTCCCGCGCTCCGATGGCGGGCTGCTAAGTTGGCCGCAGCCCCCGGCCAAGCAGCGGCCAGGCCAGAGGGCGCCCCCTGCGCAGCCTGGGCCGGGCCATGGCCCGCGCGCCCCCGCCGGGGCCCCAGGGCGGCGGGGCGCGAGTCCCCGGGGCCCCCGGCTCGCGCCTCTAGCGCGCCCCCCCCGGCCCCAGGCCCGGCCCCGCGCACGCGTGGGAAAGTTGGCCTGGAACCGGCCCGACCAGTTCTGCCTGGGCGCGCGGACCGGCCGCAGGAAGTTGCTGCAAAACTTTTTTGGGGGGTGCAGCCGGTGCCCCCCGCGCGCCGGGCCCGGATGCGTGCCGGGTAGGGTCCCCCCGGGCCGAGAGGGGTGCCCGGAGGGAGGAGCACGGAGGGGGCGCCCCGGCCCCGCTGCCCTGGGGCTATGGCCATGGTGACCGGCGGCTGGGGCGGCCCCGGCAGCGGCGGCGGCGACACCAACGGCGTGGACAAGGCTGGCGGCTACCCGCGCGCGGCCGAGGAAGACTCGGCCTCACCTCCCGGCGCCGCCAGCGACGCTGAGCCGGGCGACGAAGAGCGGCCAGGGCTGCAGGTGGACTGCGTGGTGTGCGGGGACAAGTCGAGCGGCAAGCACTACGGCGTCTTCACCTGCGAGGGCTGCAAGAGCTTCTTCAAGCGGAGCATCCGCCGCAACCTCAGCTACACCTGCCGGTGAGCCCCCTATCAGCGCACCGCCGCTGTGCACTCGGCCCCGGCTTGAGCCGGGCCTCTGACCTGCTCGGTCACCTTGGGCCTGGCGCTGACCTTCCCTGGGCCTCCATCCCCCTCTGAAAGAGGGGCACACACAGCCCCCTCTCCCCACCTCCATTCCATCCCATTCCTGGGATTGTGTATACAGTCGGCGTTGTATCGATGCACGTCCCCTCGTCAGGTGGTCCCTTGCGGCTTCCGCCTCAGTTCCTTGCTCCTTCTCTCTCCCACCCCCTCTCCGGAGAGGAGTGATCTCCGCGCGGGGAGGGGTTGGGGCTGCTGTCAGGGGTGGGGCAGGGCATCCCTTCTCTTGGGGATCTCGGCGTGCAGGGGACCCCTCGGGAATCGAACGTGGAACTTGGACTGTGGAGCTCGCAGCGTCCAGGGGCCATTGTCTGCGGCCGCGCGGATCGATACGGCGCGCCCTTGGGGTCAAATATCACTTCCAAAGTCGCCCTGGCCACCGAGGCGGCGGCGGCGGCGGCGGCGGCTGCGGGAGCGAGGCCGGGGTGGCACAGGGCGGCCTCTTTCGCTTGAGGAGCCCTGCTGTGGGGAGAGCTGGGATTGTCCATCCGGGGGGAACTTCCCCCCGCCTGGGCTCACCCTGGGCCTTGGGTCACCGGAAACCGCCGCTGCAGGGCCGGGAGGGCGGCTGGATTTGACCACACCTCGGCTGCTCCAACCCTCCCCCCACCGGGAGTGGGTGCAGACCCGGGGCT